ATTTCATATTTGTTGTAACACACATATTGTTTATAAATTATATTTTTGTTACATTTTATCTAATTTATTCATTTACAAGTATGAGCCTGGCTTGAAGTGCAGTTGCTGTCATTGAACACTGACCATCTTAAAGCAAATTATTGTAAAATCAGTTTAGTAACCAGAAAGCTAATATTTAACTAGGGATCATTTGCTCCATTGAAGCATCTTCATGACCACTTTAAGAGCCTACGTTGATCAGTTTTGGGTTTGTGTCAATTACATCCGTTTGAGGTGCTTTTAATCATTCAGAGTTCATGCACAGGTGCATTTCACCTCCATCTGACATGCATTTGAGCAGTTTCAAGCAGGATTTTTATTCCCATAGACATGTATAGGAATGCAAAACCAGTCTGATAGAACAAAACCCTGGTGACTGAGGCCCTTAACTCTCATATACAGTGTGATTCAAAAAGGATGGTGCAAAAGGAAAGCTGATTTATTCATAACAAAATGAACACAATTGTATTAACATGAAAAGACACATTAACTGTTCAAGTTTTACTTCTGCACTACAAATGTTCGCTTTATTATTATTATACAGGATTTATATAGCGCCAGCAGTTTGCTCTGCACTTTACAGAATACGGCCGCCAGACTCATTCACACCTTTCCAACCGCTCCGTTTCCGCCATCCCCCTCTGCCAATCCCTCCACTGGCTTCCGATTGCGCAACGGATCAAATTCAAAATCCTAACATTGACGTACAAAGCCATCCACCATACTGCTCCGAAGTACATCACTGACCTAATATCCAAGTACCGCCCAACACGCACACTCCGCTGCTCACAAGACCTCCTTCTCTCTAGTTCCCTGGTCTCCTCCTCCCATGCCCGCCTCCAGGACTTCTCCAGGGTGTCACCCATCCTCTGGAACTCCCTGCCCCAACCCATCAGATTATCACCTACTCTCCTCTAGGCGCACCCTGAAAACCCATCTCTTCAGGGAAGCCTACCCTACCCCCTGCTAACTTGACCGACCTCCTCCACTCTTCCTACCACTCCATCCCCCACAGCTATCTCCTCCTGTACCACTATCCCCTCCCTCCTAGATTGTAAGCTCGAAAGAGCAGGGCCCTCGATCCCCTCATGTTTTGCATTGTATTGGTATTGTTCTGTCACATGTTCTGTCCCCCTTTGTAATGTACAGCGCTGAGCAAACTATTGGCGCTTTATAAATACTGTATAATAATAATAATAATAATAATAATAATAAAGGGAGACAATACAGTTCAATACAGGAAGGATAGGAGGGCCCTGCTCCTCGGAGCTTACATGCCCCTTTTGGTGACTTGACAGATGTTTGCCGTTTACTATTGTTGTCAGTCTTGCTACAAGTTTTTACTTTTGCACCATGACAACAATGGTAAAAAGCCAGTTGTTGGAAATTATGAAGGCAACAGATCTCCAGTTATTGTGTCTTTATTTGCTTGTGCATATCACCATCACCAGATGCTTGGGGTACTGTTGTGTACACAAGATGGTTACATCGAAGCAAGAGAAGGCTTTTTGTGTGTTGGAATTTGTATGAATGAGGGCTATTGCCATGCAGGAAAGAAACATTCACCAATGTCGCTCTGGCCTCTGCAATTGTCAGGTCTAGCACCCTGCAACTTCTTTCTGTGGGGGTGCACCAAGGACTTGGTGTATGTCCCCCCATGACACGGGACCTGAACAATCTGAGACAACACATCACAGAAGCAATGGAGACAATACCAGAGGACATGCTGTCACAAGGCTGGACAGAAATGGAGTACTGTCTCGACATCTGTCATATCTTATGATGGAGTGCGGCTTTGAATGAGTGCAGAGCAGTTAAACACAGCAGTTGAACTAATGCAGGAGAACTTAAGCAGCAGGAAGACACAACAAACAGCAAGAAACTCTACTGCATGCTGGACAGACTGCAAGGAAACATCTTTTACATACCTGAGTCCCACTCCATGTACCTTTTATATAATACACCCCTCTTCTCTCTTCATATTACTATCCTCTGTTCCCAAATCTCATTTCTTTACCCCTCTGCTCCACCCCAAAACTTGTACATCTACCCCTTATTGCTATCATCTCCCTACTATTGCTTTCATCACCTCCCCAAAATGCCTCTTCCACTCCTCCTTCTCATTTTCCTCTCCTCTGTTCCCAAAATCCATTCACTATATCCCTCTGCTCCTCCCAAACATTTGTATATTGTGCCCTCACTGCTTCCCTCACCCCTCTATGGCACCCACCACCTCCTCCTATTACTCCACTCTCCCACTGACCCAAACACCTCCACTAGTAGTTTCTCACGCTCCTGCACATCCCGCTCCCATGCCACCTTTCTCACCCTTCTCCTCCTCATAACCGCGGGGGACATCTACCCGAATCCTGGCCCTCCACCACCTCCTTCACCCGCACAAAACCCTCCCGCCTCCACGTCCTGCCGCAACCCCCGCAACTTTATATCTGTCCCCCTGCTCCCTAAAATCTCCCCCCCCATTTTCATATGCACTCCTGAACGCCCGATCGGTGTGCAACAAGCTTACCGCCATCCACGACCTCTTTGTTTCCCGCTCCCTCAACCTCCTGGCGATTATGGAAACCTGGATCCAGCCCACTGACTCTACCTCCCCTGCTGCACTCTCCTATGGAGGTCTCACCTGGACCCACTCACCCAGGCCCAACGGTCGTAAAGGTGGTGGGGTTGGCCTGCTCCTGTCACCGCTGAGTACCTTCCGAGTCCTCCCAAACTCCCCCCTCCCTATCCTTCTCCTCCTTCGAGGCCCACTGCGTCCGACTATTCTCCCCAACTCCCCTGAAGATTGCTGTGATATACCGGCCTCCTGGATCCATACCCCGCTTCCTGGAAGACTTCTCCTCCTGGCTTCCCTTCTTCCTCTCCTCTGAGCTACCCACTATCATCCTTGGGGATTTCAACATCCCTGTCAACCTCGACAACCCGAACACAGCCCGTCTCCTCCACTTAACCTCCTCCTTTGCACTTGCACAGTGCATACAATCCACCACCCACTCCGACGGTAATATCCTTGATCTTGTCTTCTCCAACCGCTGCGCTCCCCACAACCTCACTAACACCCCCTTCCCTCTCTCTGACCATAACCTGATTACCTTCTCTATCTCCTCATCCTCCAATGCCTACCCCTCCAAATGTCACACTTCTACCAGCCGTAACCTCCGCAACCTTAACCCTGCCTCCCTCCACTCCGCAGCTGATCAACTCCATGACCGCATCCTCCCCCTGTCCTCCCCGACTTGGCTATGACCGCCTACAACAATGCGCTGTCAACAGCCCTTGACTCACTAGCGCCTTTGACCACACGCAACATCAGACCCCGACCGCTCCAGCCCTGGCAGACTGATCACACCAAAACCCTCAAACTACACAGTCGTGCCCTGGAGCGACTATGGTGCAAAACCAAATCCCAACAAGCCTTCACCCGATACAAATCTGCCTTCCACATCTACACCTCCTCCCTCCATACTGCCAAACAAGCCTACTTCCTGACCCTCATCAAGGCCCTCTCCTCCAATCCTCGCCGACTCTTCTCCACCTTCAACTCTCTACTCTCGCCACCCCCACCTCCACCCAGCACCTCACTCACTGCCCTTGAGATTGCCAATCACTTCAAAAACAAGATTGACACAATTCGCAAGGACATTGCCGCAACTCACACGCCTTCTCAACCCGTCCCCTCTCACACAGCTACCCCCTCATCCCCCCTGCCCCTCGACATAACCCACAGGGACTTCGTCGCTGCTCAAACTCCCTCCAACCCCCTTCCCCCTCACTCAGCTACCCCCTCTACACCCCTCTCCCACGGCCCCCACCACTGCTCTGACCTCCTCTCCCACCCCACCCTACATTCCTCATACTGAAGCTCCCCCAACACTCCGCACCTTTGACCTTACTACCATAGAAGAAGTCTCCAAGATCCTCTCTGATGCCCACCTCACCACCTGCCCCCTCGACCCTATCCCCTCACAACTCCTACAACCTCCCTCCCCCTCCATCCTACGCTCCCTCACCCACATCTTCAACATGCCCCAACCCATCAGATTATCACCTACTCTCCTCTCCTTTAGGCGCACCCTGAAAACCCATCTCTTCAGGGAAGCCTACCCCGCCCCCTGCTAACTTGCCGACCTCCTCCACTCTTCCTACCACTCCATCCCCCACAGCTATCTCCTCCTGTGCCACCATCCCCTCCCTCCTAGATTGTAAGCTCGAAAGAGCAGGGCCCTCGATCCCCTCATGTTTTGCATTGTATTGGTATTGTTCTGTCACATGTTCTGTTCCCCTCTGTAATGTGCAGCGCTGAGCGAACTATTGGCGCTTTATAAATACTGTATAATAATAATAATAATATCACCAACAGAGCTCACATCAAACATTTGTAATGCAAAGGTAAAGTCTGGACAGTTAAGGTGTCTTTTCATGTTAATATGGTTGTGTTAGGTTATTTATTTCAGATACTTATATAGCGCCATCAATTTATGCAGTGCTTTACATATATATTGTACATTCGCATCAGTCCCTAACCCTCAAGGGGTGTACAATCTAAGGTCCCTAACTCACATTCATACATACACATACTAGGGACAATTTAGACAGGAGCCAATTAACCTCCCAGCATGTCTTTGGAGTGTGGGAGGAAACCCGAGTACCCAGAAGGAAACCCATGCAAGCACAGGGAGAACATGCAAACTCCAGGCAGTTGGTGCTGTGGTTGGGATTTGAACTGGCGACCCTAGTACTGCCAGGCAGAAGTGCTAACCACTTAGCCACTGTGCTGCCCCATTCCATTTTGAATAAATCAGCTTTACCTAGCCACCTGTATAAGCTGAAAAACATTTTTGAATTGATTTCTTATTTTTCTGCTTAGGTCATAAACAAGAAATTCTTGTTATTTGGTGATTATTAAATATTATTGACCTGAAAACATGAAGTTCTTTTCCTAGGTGTGAAGATATGGTGGACGTTCGACGGTTAAAAATGTTACAGATGGTCCAGCTGTTTAAATGTGAAGAAGATGCAGCACAAGTAAGAAATAGAGCAGTCTTTGCATCCCATCTGTACTTTGGTGCTCCCAGGTCTGTTTGTTATTGCTAAGTAAAATAAAGTATTGGACTGGAGTGAGCATTGTTCACATCCTGCTGCTTATTCTAGTGAAACAGACAGATTAGTCTATATTGAACAACTCCAGGCAAATATATAAAAACATTCACTTAAAGAGGAACTTCAATTTTCATACTTCAATACTGTCTTCTTGCAGCTATTTCTTCAGTTATTTTCTTTTTTATTTTAACAATAGTTCGTTCTTTAAGGAAGAAAATAAGCAGAACCTGCAAGTAGCAGTAGGGAACAAGGTCTTGATTACTCGAATAACTATCACCTATTCATGAAGTCATCATTTATTGGACTGACAGGTACAAGCTGAAATCAGTCTGATTACTGCACATTATTGCCCTTGTTTTAGGCTATTGATTAAAAGCTATGTGTAAAATGTCCAAATGCAGAATCCACTCACCACTAGTATTCCAGGTGAACACAGTAGATTGGACCACCAGCAGCTTCTGGTGAGATTTTCCTGTAGTGTTTTGCACTTCATGGGCTCTTATGAAGGGTGTGGCACACTTATCACACCTTCATTTGGCTTTGCAGGGTCCAAGCAGTAGCGTGGAATGGAGCATTCTGGTGGATGTATCTCACTAAACAATTTCCCTAGTGATCTAAAAAGTGTGCTTGTAAACAACTATATAAAACTGTACTATTGATTTTAGGTGGAGCTTGCCTGAAGCATTTGAGATGTTAGCTTCCATTCGAAGAAAACAGAACAATCCAGTATGATTTTGGACTGGTTGCAGTGTTTCTATTGTTTCTGAAGTACAGAACCACATCTAATGGCTCATGCAAATACAAAATATTCGCTTTTCCCCCAAAGACTATTTGTTCTTTTCCTGTTTCTTGCTGAGTCGATAGGCACTTCCTGCACTATGTGCCAATTTATATTCCAAGTCAAATTTTGCTCTGCACAAATCCACAATAAAGAAAATATTGAAGGGAAAGAAGAAAGCCTGCCACAAACATGAGTGATTGATGCTAAATATATGAATGGTAATAGTTAATGATAATCCCTTTTTCCGTTTTTGTAAGTACAATCCTTTGCGAGGGACAGAGAAGATGCAATTAGGCAGCTGAATCAGGCTAGACTGCAGTAGTCAGTTTTATCAATAAAAGATAAGATGTACATTTGGAGAAAGAAAATGCAAAGCCTAAAGTTGTAAAGGAAAATCAAAATACAATAATAAAAGTACAGAACCGTATTCATTGTCAAATTAGGATTTGTGATACTGGACGTGAGCTTTGTAATACTCCCACTTTGACAGCTATGACAAGGGCCTAATTGGAGACACAGAGAACTTAGAAACAGTAAAGGCCTCTTCACACGTGTTTGTGTAAAAACTACATGTTCACATTTTAACAAATTGTCCCAGCCCCCTTCTCTAGTGCAGTCCCAGTCTGCTAGGATCACCTATGTTACACTTAAAATTACCTTAGTTTCCAGGTCCTAATCTGGGTTCTTCAAAAATGTAGCACTTTTTTTTTTAAACATGTATGTACTGTATGTATGTATGTATGAAATTGCGGAAAGTTTTTGAAGACCCCTCATGTATGTATGTGTATATATGTATGTGTGTGTATATATGTATGTGTGTATATATATATATTTCCAAAAGTATTGGGACGCCTGCCTTTACACGCACATGAACCTTAATGGCATCCCAGTCTTAGTTTGTAGGGTTCAATATTGAGTTGGCCCACCCTTTGCAGCTATAACAGCTTCACTCTTCTGAGAAGGTTGTCCACAAGGTTTAGGAGTGTGTCTATGGGAATGTTTGACCATTCTTCCAGAAGTGCATTTGTGAGGTTAGGCACTGATGTCGGACAAGAAGGCCTGGCTTGCAGTCTCCGCTCTAATTCATCCCAAAGGTGTTCTGTTGGGTTGAGGTCAGGACTCTATGCAGGCCAGTCAAGTTCCTCCACCCCAAACTCGCTCATCTGTATCTTTATGGACCAGCTTTGTGCACTGGTACGCAGTCATGTTGCAAAACGGAAGGGGCCATCCCCAAACTGTTCCCACTAAGTTGGGAGCGTGATATTGTCCAAAATGTCTTGGTATGCTGATGCCTTAAGAGTTCCCTTCACTGGAACTAAGGAGCTAAGCCCAACCCCTGAAAAACAACCCCACACCATAATCCCCCCTCCACCAAACTTTACACTTGGCACAATACAGTCAGGGAAGTACCGTTCTCCTGGCAATTGCCAAACTCAGATATGTCCATCTGATTGCCAGACAGAGAAGTGTGATTCATCACTCCAGAGAACACATCTTCACTGCTCTAGAGTCAGTGGTGGCATGCTTTACACCAATGCATCCGACGCTTTGCATTGCACTTGGTGATGTAAGGCTTGGATGCAGCTGCTCGGCCATGGAAACCCATTCCATGAAGCTCTATATGCACTGTTGTTGTGCTAATCTGAAGGCCACAGGAAGTTTGGAGGTCTTTAGCTATTGACTCTGCAGACAGTTGGCAACTTCTGTGCACTGCGGACTTCAGCATGCGCTGACCCCGCTCTGTCACTTTTACGTGGCCTACCATTTCATGGCTGAGTTGCTGTTGTTCCTAGTTGCTTTCACTTTGTTACACTACTACTAACAGTTGACCGTATAATATTTAGTAGCAAGGAAATTTCACGGATGGACTTATGGCAACCTATCACAGTACCACGCTTGAATTCATTGAGCTCCTGAGAGCAACCCATTCTTTCACAAATATTTGTAGAAGCAGTCTGCATGACTAGGTGCTTGATTTTATACACCTGTGGCCATGGAGGTGATTGGAACACCTAAATCCAATGATTTGGAGGGATGTCCCTATACTTTTGGCAATTTTGTGTGTGTGTGTGTGTGTGTGTATATGTGTGTGTGTATGTATATATATATATATATATATATATATATATATATATATATATATTTTTATATATATATATATTATAATATAATTTTTTAATAGCTTACCCTTTCTTCCATTACTCACTTTTTGTGAAGGGCTCATGCCTATAAAGCCTTGTACATATGAGCGCTAGACTGATTAGAAGAGTATTGCTGAAGCTAACTGAAAGCCTGCTATCGGCTTGCGTAAAGTGACAAACAGCACTCCTCTAATGATCATGGTCTACATTCCCAAACTTTTGTTAAAGGTTGCAATAAAGACAACTCTACTCTTCGTACAAGTTGTTCTTTACGGGGTTCTCCTACAACATTACATACTTACCTTCCTCTTCTTTCCAGTGTACTTTGCTGTGCATCCCCACCCAGCACCGTATGGCCTTTCCTCTTGAACCATCCCTGACAATTTCTTTTTTTAGTACTGTGTAACAATTTGTCCATGGCAGTCTTCAGTGTTCTAGCGGAGAAACGGCTCTCCCATAGAAATTAATGGGGCCTCAAGAAACATAGCTGGCAGGGAAGTTTTTAGAGAAAAGGCTACATCACCTATCAGGGTTGCACAGTGGAGATCACCATTTTTAATTCAGCTGTATTGTGGTAAAAAAAAATTGCTAACTTTTATTCAATATCCCAAATATACAATATACAATGTGAAAAGTGAAGCTAAAAATTGTAAGGGTTCTACTAAATTGACAGCAGAAATATGAAATATGAAGATCCTTCCTCACCGGCTTACCTCATCACAGACTATCCCCGCTTCAGTCTATCCTGAACTCAGAGGCCAGACTCATCCACATTACCAACCGCTCCGTATCCACCACTCCCCTCTGTCACTCCCTCCACTGGCTTCCGATTGCCCAACGCATAAAATTCAAACTACTAACATTGACGTACAAAGCTATTCATAATACTGCCCTACCGACCTGATATATCAAATACCACCCAACACGTACTCTTCGCTCCTCACAAGACCTCCTTCTCTCTAGCTCCCTAGTCTCCTCCTCCCATGCCCGACTCCAGGACTTCTCCAGGACTTCCCCCATCCTCTGGAACTCACTACCCCAATCCATCAGACTGTCACCTACCCTCCTCACCTTTTAGGCGCACCCTGAAAACCCATCTCTTCAGGGAAGCCGACCCCGCCCTCACCTAACAGCCAATCTCCTCCACTCCTCCTACCACTTCCTCCTGTACCACTATCCCCTCCCTCCTATATTGTAAGTTCCAAAGAGTAGGGCCCTCGAACCCCTTGTGTATTGTTACTGTATTGTCTCATGTACTGTCCCCCACTACAATGTACAGCGCTGAGCAAACTTTTTGGCGCTATAGAAATACTGTATAATAATAATGAAGATTCTATTTACCTATAAAACTGTGTTAAATTCCTGTTGCAGAATTTAATGAGTGTGCATATTTATGTTTCAGTTGTTGAAAGATCCCCTGTTAGCATTTGGCTACTTTGACAAACGTGCAGAATATCAGTAGGAATATGATTACACCCCAGAAATCTTGAACTAGGGAAGATGACTAGTCCAATCTAAATGAGGCTCCATGCCAGTATGGAGATATTGCCCAATCAGTTTCCAGCTGCAACTTTTCTATTTTTGGTTAGAAAAAATAATTTCTATAGGGAGCTGTTTTCCTGTTATCTTGTAATATTTTTTATATTGTCTTATTACATTTTAAATGCCAGCAGTCATAGACAGATGTAATCTGCTATAATAAAATTACTTATTGATCTTATTTAGGCAGTAGACTGGTTAAACGAATTACTGGATGCCTTGTTAAAGACCCACGTGAGACTGGGAGACGACAGTCAAGAAACAAAAATTTTGATAGAAAAGCACCGAAAATTTGTGGATGTAGCCCAGGTAAATACAATTTAGACTTTATAATAGTATTTAATTGGTTCTTGACATTTTACGCCCCATTGCGGTCATTCTGTTCTGTGCTTACTTAAAGATAAGTTTACTTTGGTTTAAAAAGTAGAGGGCTGCAATAGTCTTCTCAGTTTTGCATTTCAGGAGGGGGAAACGTATAACCTTTCCACCAGACCCCCAGTCACCTGACCACTACCGCTCCTGTCCATCACACATACAGGGTCCAACACAGATTTTACCATAGGTCAAGGGCAGAAGCCCCATGTCACATATGAACATTTTTAGGACTTGCTAATTCGTAGTTTGAAGCAGGTCCCTATATAGGGTCCTGAGCTGTAGCCAAGGGCCAGTAACAGCTCAGCTGCCCAGGAGGGATAAGTCTTGAACCCTACAGACCACCTCTCCATCAGAACCCTCAGTTACTTGACCAACACCGCTCTTGCCCCAAGCTGGCTACGTTCCCTCCTTCCAACCTCCATTTTGTACCATGGACTCTGCTGTGGTTTCACATGACCCACTTACATTACACTGTGAAACATAGAACCAGAAGGAAGAGCGCTTTAAAGAATTTTACAGTCCAAATCTTAGAAAGGTTTACAAAAACCATGCTATAAGCTGGTTACTACATGAACACAAAGGGAGTTTCTGCAGTGCACTAATTATCTCAATTTCCCAGGAGTGAGACACTCCAGCACAGTGTCTCATACTCAAAGGCAGTTCAAATAATGGAGGAGTATTCCTATAATGGAGATGCCCACAAAGGGGAGATATATTCTCAAGTTCACTTACATGATTGTTTCAGAAGGTTCTATGTTTCTTCCACAGCTTTTAACTAATTCCTCCCCTTGTTTATGTAGCCTTAGCACAAAAGGGAAGAAAGGACCACACCAACAAGCAGGAAGGCAGCACAGCAGCAGGAAAACTGTAAACCTAACCCCCTCTTACAAAATTCTAAACTTTTCTTATAATAGGTGATTACACATCCTCGCTTGTAGCACAAAACCCATGAAGAAGGAGCTCAGTCTCTGCTTATGGGTAAGAGAAGGGTCATGCAAATTATTTATTATATCGCTAGCCAGGAGTAGGACACTAGGCAGAAAAGAACACAGCACTGCCTATGGGCAATCCTAGCTGGTATAAGACCCCCTCATTGCTATAGGCAATCCAGTTTTTTTGCTTTGCCTAATGTAGGAGTAATGCATTTGGACAGAGAGAAAACAGGTGGCGCACACACCTAGTGCATTATCCAAGGTTTATTGTAAGGAGTGAAAGAATAATAAAAACATACTCACAGACGAAGCATGTATCTAAAAAGCATAGAAAAATGACAATGGCCACAACGGCAGGCAAGGTGTTCTCACTGTCAGTGCGGTCAAATGGCTGACGTGTTTCGGGGATGAATCCCTTTCCTCAGAGCTGATGACCAGCCTCTGATGCAGATGTGTGATGAATGGAAAGTAGGAGCCTTGCTGTTGATGCCTCTTGGGGCCCCTTCCTTCTATCACAGATGGTGTCGGATTTATCACCTGCTGAGGACATTTCCTCCATTTTTTGGATCCATGGCTGGCTTATCCTTGGAGGGGTTACGTTGAACTTCTTGGATGTGGTTCAGGTGTGCCTGGCCACTGCTGCCTTTTGCCAGAGCTCAGATTCTTTTTTTGATGCTCAGGGTCGGCCCTAGTGGGCCTGGGGGCCTCCTCTGCCACTTCTTTTCCACGGAAACTGGCGGGTGCTTGTTCCTGCATGCACAATTATTGGGCGGACTCTGTCCCTCTACGTTGTGGCACACCCCATTATGGCGATAGTGGCTACCTAGTCGTCTGTGCACACTTTTACATAATTTTATCACATTGCTGTGTTTGCATCTTCGGATGCTTTCTTTTGGCCACACGCTTGCAGGCAGCTATTTAAGGTTCACTGTTTTGTCATTTTATGGGTTGTTTGGGTGGTTGGCAGGAGAATTGCCAGGTGATTAAGTAAAATCCCAGTGTATGGATCCTCAGGTGGGTGTGCAAATAGATATGCGCACTCAGCAGAAGTGCATAAATATAGCGCGTTGTATCGTATACTGTTGGAACAGTCAGGGATCCCTTCTTAGGGTGGTCCGGAATGCAGCCTGGGAGTGGATGGCCTTCCTTAGGTAACAGGATATTGGCAAGCCAGGGTAAATAGATCAACCTCGCCCAGGCTCTGGGATGTTCACCTGGGATTGCAAGTGATAAATCCAACACCATCTGTGATAGAAGGAAGGGGCCCAAATGCATTACTCCTACACTAGGCAAAACAAAAAAAAACTGGGATTGCCTATAGCAAAGAGGGGGTCTTATACCAGCTAGGATTGCCCATAGGCAGTGCTGTGTTCTTTTCTGCCTAGTGTCCTACTCCTGGCTAGCGATATAATAAATAATTTGCATGACTCTTCTCTTACCCATAAGCAGAGACTGAGCTCCTTGTTTATGGGTTTTGTGCTACAAGCGAGGATGTGTAATCACCTATTATAAGAAAAGTTTAGAATTTTGTAAGAGGGGATTAGGTTTACAGTTTTCCTGCTGCTGTGGTGCCTTCCTGCTTGTTGGTGTGGTCCTTTCTTCCCTTTTGTGCTAAGGCTACATAAACAAGGGGGAGGAATTAGATAAAAAGCTGTGGAAGAAACAAAGAACCTTCTGAAACAATCATGTAAGTGAACTTGAAAATATGTCTCCCCCTTTGTGGGCATCTCCATTATAGGAATACTCCATTATTTGAAAATGCTCGGTGCAGAGCAAAGAAAGAAATGGGTATTCCCATAGTGTAGTATTTAAATGATGTTTTAATGGTATTAAATAATAAAACAGTATAAAAATCCAAACACGTACACTAGTTGTGCAAAAGACGTACACTAGTTGTGCATACCCCTTTTGACAATGTAATTGTAGTACGAAACACGTCAAGGAGGAGCCCTACACGCCGTGACGTCAAGCCGCCGGATCACGGAGGTCCAGCGGTCACCTTATTTTACCAGCTGGTCAGTGTTATAGTCATGCAATTGTCATATTATTGCTTCATCGTTTGCACAACTAGTGTACGTGTTTGGATTTTATACTGTTTATTATTTAATACCATTAAAGCATCATTTAAATACTACACAATGGGAAAACCGCTTTTCTTTGCTCTGCACCGAGCATTTTAACTTCACAGCAATCCCCGGTGAAACATCCCAGAGCTGGACGAGGTTGATCCATTTACCCTGGCTTGCCAATATCCTGTAACCTAAGGAAGGCCATCCACTCCTAGGCTGCATTTCGGACCACCCTAAGAAGGGATCCCTGACTGTTCCAACAGTATACGATACAACATGCTATATTTATGCGCTTCTGGTGAGTGTGCATTTCATATATCTATTTGCACACCCACCTGAGGATCGATACACTGGGATTTTACTTAATCAACTGGCGATTATCCTGACAGTTTTCTGGAAGCTTATACTAAGAATTTTTTGACATTTATGTTTGAAAACGCATCAGAGGTGCCTGTGCGTTTTTGTGTAGGGGACTATATTTCCTAGTGGTTTTATGCATTTTATGATTATAACGCATCTATTATTTATGTTCATCTGCTTGATAAGTTTCCTTTTATCATTTTTAGCGCTGCACTTTTATGTGAGATGACAAGTTTGTTATTTAAAAAATCATGGGTTTACAATCACTTGTAGCTTCACGTAATGTTTTATTCTTGTAAAATAGACAATTTATCTGCTGTATGTCTGAGTTGGACACTCAGGGAATCCAGAGCTGTTCTTGGGCACATTGTAACATAATGGAATACTTTTGTTTTGTGAAACAGCTGCAGCATTAATAAGAAATAGTGTTACTTTTGCAGATTTCAATATTTTTATTTTACTATTATATTTTTTTTTTTTTTTGCTGATAGACTTCTTTTTTGCGGGGCTGTTTAGAACAACCAGTTTGCTGTTGGGACACATTCTTTGAGTCCCTGTACTAGATGGGAGAGCATCATTCTTTGGTTTATATTGGGTGGAGTACAGCATATACAGCAAACAGCAGTGGAAAATTGCAGTTAGTCACTTTCAATAGGATCCTGCCATGTAGCAGCATCGGGCAGAAGTTTGGTTAGCATTACAGCTTTGAGTCCTGCATTTCAAGTTATTATGAGTCATTACCTGCTAGAAATCTGTTTAATCTCCCCATGTCTTTATGGGTTTATTCCACATTATCAAAACATACCGGTAGATTAATTGGTATCCTACCAAACTGAAAAAAAGAGCGTGTGTGTATATGACACACAATAGTCAAGGACCAATGTGTCCTCTAAAATTTATTCTGTTGTAAAAATATTTCTCCAATACCCAACTATGAAGAAATGCACAGGAATAAAAAGAATTGCTATAACAAAAAAAAACTCCAGCTCCCACATTTGTAGTAGAGAAGATGATGAAAGCTCAGGTGCTTAGTATCTGTGGATATTCTGCTTTTCCTCTGCTATATTTTTTTATTTTACCAGCCTGCTAAATTGTAACACAAGATGACCATGCTTATTAGTTCCTGTTAATTCTAGCTGGAAACCAAGGTTTCTGTGTCTGACCTCTTAAATTTAGCAATGAGAACAAATAATTCTGTTTCTTCTCATCTATAATTTTCTCCCTCTTTTGGTCCTCTCCACAGAGTACATATGATTATGGGCGACAGTTACTGCAAGCCACAGTTGTATTGTGTCAGTCTCTGAGGTGTACATCAAGGTCATCAGGGGACACACTTCCGAAACTTAACAGAGTATGGAAGCAGTTTACGATAACCTCAGAAGAGAGGGTTCACCGGCTGGAAATGGCACTCGCTTTTCACTCTAACGCTGAAAAGGTTAGATCCATTTGCATATGACCCGAACCAAGTAGCTTCAGTCATTTAAAGGTCACGTGCACTTCTGTGGAGCAATTCTTGCTCGCCTGTACAATAGAGTTCTTTCATTTTCAAGAGCACAGTACTGAAGTATTTGGAGTGGATTGAATTATTTCTTTCGAATAGTTTTAAGTGCATGTGCTTTGTTGTTTGGGGCTTTTAGATAGATATGGACATGCTGTAATCATTGTTATTACTCAAAAATGTCATCACTTTTCTGTAACATCTCTTTGGAAACATTTTCTCTGTACAGAAGTGATAGTGAGTGGCTTCGACTTATATTGGTGAAAACTTTTTCATTTAAAGGGAGCCTGCCCATAAAGCTATTGCTATCTTGGTTCTTGAGGTTGCTAGCTGTCTTTGTCATCCTGGCTTTACCTGGAACAAGCAAATTAAAGTGTTAGGAAAACTAATATGCATATTCTTGTTCCATGACTCAACAACTTGTGAGACAGGAATAAGTAATGCAGCTTGAGGCCTGCACCCATGCAATTCCACATACAAGAGTTCATACTCCTGGTCATCCGGGTATGCTGCGAGAGAATGTGATAGTAGGAAGAGATAACGGGATGAGCAGACAGATAACCTGTCACTTGTTTATTGTCCAGTGAGGATGGAGAGAGACACTAATATAGCTTAGAGTTTATAACTGTAATAATGTAATGGAACCGGGCAGCACAGTGGCTAAATGGTTAGCACTTCCGCCTGCCAGTACTAGGGTTGTTGGTTCGAATCCCAACCACGGCACCACCTGCCTGGAGTTTGCATGTTCTCCCTGTGCCTGCGTGGGTTTCCTCCAGGTATTCCGGTTTCCTCCCATGCTCCAAAGACATGCTGGTATGTTAATTGGCTCCTGTCTAAATTGGCCCTAGTATGTGTATGTATGAATGTGAGTTAGGGACCTTAGATTGTACACTCCTTGAGGCTTAGGGACCGATGTGAATGTACAATATATATATGTGTGTGTGTGTAAAGCGCTGCGTCAACTGACGGCGCTATATAAGTACCTGAAATAAATAAATAATAGAAAAAAGTGGTGTCTTCCACCTGGCTGTGCGTTGTAAATCTGTATAACTGGATAAACAGATGTATAAATACTTTAGCAAGTAAATATGTGTATTTGCTAAGGTATTACATGTTTTCCTAGAATTCAGCTTTAAAAAAAATCTGCAGTGGCAGTTCTCATATTTCTATTCTGACAAGTTCCCTTTAAATAACACCAACCAGGTAATACAGTTTCTGGTGGACATGATGAGGCAAGCTATAATATATTAGATTGTAAGCTCTTATAAGCAGGGCCCTCTTGTGTTGTATTGCAACTGTACTGTCTCCCTTTATATTGTAAAGCACTGTGCAAACTGATGGCACTGAATAACAACAATATAAACTTACAGTTAAAGGGCAACACTAAACAAAACACAAGATATAAATAATAAGCTGAACATGTAGGTTGTTACTTGAATTTTTGATCTGACTATAGTTTTTTGTTTTTTTATTTTGTCGACTGATTACAAATATATATGTATACAGCTATTTAAAATGTATCAGATCTTTTTTCTATTTGATACACAAGCTGCTACTTCATTTTCTTAAAATTAAAGTTAATGAGTACAATGTACAATTCTGACAGGCAGCAGCAAATCTAGGAACCTTCACACCAAGCAAGTACATTTCTAAAAATGATCAAGTAGCAGATTTATTCAGAGATCTATTCTCTGCTCTCCTTTAGTACAATTCTGTTCCTATACTGAACACTGCTGCAGTATGTTGCTGACTGACTTTTCACAACCTTATGTCTGTTACCCTCAAGGGCTGCAGCTCCCAAGTACATGTTTATTAGAGTGCAAGCATTGGACAACTGGTAAACCGTCATGTTGCTTGAAGTCTGGACACATCTCAAGAGCTCAGGTAGCAAATGTACAAAAAAAAAAAAAAAACCCACAAAGGACGTGCTTAGCTTTTTTTGAGCATTTTTCATGATTGGCAACAGAGCAAATTTTTCAAACTCCATAAAAGTACGTGATAAAATCCAGAACTCACACTTTAATTATCAACTGAGTTTGTCCATCAGCAGTTGATCTCCTCTCCTTCCAGCAAATAAGATTAAAAGCCGATCAGTTCAATGGGACTTGCGTGGTTTCTGTGTCTTAGGCAGTTTGAGGTCAGCAGTTTGAGGTCATTGTCTTCTTGTGAATTGATCAGCTGGATTTTTCTGATATGTAATTCCAGCTCAGAATTAGGGCTGATATTGACATTGATATTGGGCTGTTGATTTCATTGGTTTAACATGAGTTTGAGACGCTTCTGAGATAATTCAGAACTCTTTTGACTTGTAGTTGACATCTTTATGACCTGTTTAAAGCTGGTTTTGCATTGACTTCTTTGAGGAGGGCAACAGGTCCAGTTCAAATGGTGAAGGACAATTATCAGGTAGAAAATACAAGTCTGCATTTTAAAAGGAACATGTCAAGAATTTTAGGAAATCTTTGCCTAACTTGTGTGACAGAGCAGTAGTGGTGATAGCAGTTGAGACAAACCTATTCATTGAGCGGCTGCCTTAGAATTAACATTTGACATAACCTGGCTAATGGCTGCTTCCATCAAAGTGAACAGATTCTATAGTATATCATGGATTCACTTTAAGTCATTATAATGTAACTTAGAAAATGGTACAACCAATCTAATTGTTTTTTTATGTTTTATTTTGAATTTCCTTTCAGATCTTACAAGAAAGTCAGACCTTCCCGAATCAGTGCTGGATTTTGAACAATTTGATGAAGTTGAAGCTGTTGGGAAATCGTTGCTGGACAGATTAACAGTGCCTGTAATTTATCCTGATGGGTATGCCATTTTTTTCTGTGTAGACCTTTGTCAAGCTTTGATTTTATTGAGAAAACTTGAATTGACAATTATTAAAATATACAGCGAAGCTCTAAAAGAGCTGTAGGCCCATTGCAGCCATTTTTGGACTGGGGTTTCTATGTCAAATAATTAATAGTCAATCCCAGTTTATTTCTCATGGGTCAGATACTGTAAGGTTAGTGCATTGTAGTGGAGTCACTGCAGATCCAAGTGTACAGAAATGCCAGCACTCCAAAGTATGAGTTTCAGATAGAAAATTAGCTTTGGAACTTACAAGTCTTACATGGCCCCAAAATATTGGTGTTTTTTCATACAAACAAAAACGATTTTTCATCCGTTCAATCTCTCTGTGATTCAATCTTTCTGTTGGTGAGCTGGCACTTCTGTGCTCAGATTTCAGCATCAAATGCACATAAAACCATTTTTGCTGACTTATTCCCTTACTGTTTTAACAGGTCTAATACTTGAAACGTGAAATGTTTGTCACGAGAATGAAAGTGTAATCAAATATACCATTTGAGGAAAAAAAAAATGTCCATTAAATACAAAAACACTAGTCCCCAATTGGAGCTAGTCTGTCAGAGTGCATGTGTTCATGGACACTTATAAATGTATGATGAGGAAGATATTTCATTATGTTATGGCATTAAAAACACATCCTGATGTGGACACATCTGTCAAAACACACATTGATTGATAGAAAAAAGTGTTTTCCCTGTCACATCCTAAATATATTTTCTGAAGCTCCAATTAGCCCTACATACAGTATGAGAACATCAAAACTTGGTAAGGAACTGTGTCCTTGGCAGTAAAGTATTCCAATGGCACGTTAAAAGATTATGTGTCAAAGTACCTTAACCACCTCCCGTCCGGCCGTTGTATATAAACGGCCCCGGACGGTGGCACTGCAGGGTCGGGTGGCCATCTATAAACGGCCTCCCCGCACCCTGCTTGTGCGCTCCCTGGGAGCGCGTAGCACCGCGATCCGGTGCCCGCTGTGTCCTCCGGACACAGTGAAAACACCGATCGTCGGACGGGACCTCTGTACGAGGTCCTGATCATGTGATCACTGATTGGCCAATCAGTGATCACATGCATGCAAAGTAGTAAACAAGATGTCACTTCTGACATCATTGCTTACTACATGTGAAATCTGTGAATGATCACAGAGGTCACATGGTACAAGGCTATTCACAAAAGCCTTGTACCATGTGACAAGCTGTGACCAATCACAGCTCACTCAGTACTTCTCAATGAGTGCAAGAATGCACACAGAGAGAAAGAGAAATGATTGCTTTTACATCCTATATGGGTGTAAAAGCAATCAGTGTAAAAAAAAAAAAAAAAATCTTCATCACCCCCCACAAGTAGTACAGTGTCACCATGGTGACACTGTACTGCTAGGGTGACAGTATGTAAAAAAAAAAATAATAATATAAAAAAAAAAATAAAAAATGTAAAAAAAAAAAATTTTAAAAAATTATAATTTTTGCTTAAAAACTAATTTTGGATTTTTTTTTTTATTACTAAAAAAGATAACGGAATACGTTTTGGCTAAGATTTATGATGAAAATATTACTTATTTTGCAAAATTTTATATAAAACACTTTTTTTTCAAAATTTTTGGACATTTTCATTTACATAGCAAAAAAAAATACACAAATCCCAGTGGTGAATAAATACCACCAAAATAAAGCTTTATCTGTCTCAAAAAAATGGTAAAAAATTCATTTTGGGGTACAGTGTTGCATGACCGCGCAATTTGTCATTCAAAAGTGTGATAGCGCTAAAAGCTGAAAAATTGCCTTGGTCAGGAAGGGGGTAAAAGTGTCCGGTCTGGAAGTGGTTAGAAGTAATGATTGTGTAATAACTGTGCCAGGCTACAGTTTTCATACAGTAGTTATAAGTGTATTTTGATAAGGAAGGTATTTAAATAAATGTCCATATACAGGGCCACTGTTAAAAAGGCTAGCTCCATTTGGGGACTATATCAGGTTTCTATCTTTTTTCTATCGACGATATACTTGTTCCAGGGATGTACCGGTTGTCACTACCCGGCTCGACAAAAGTTGAATTTTCAGTCTACTTTTTGTCAGAGGAGCCAGATGGAAAAATTCTCAGATGCAGCACTTTTCAGGTATTTGGAAAGCCACATAGGGAAGCTGTCAGTGTATAATACCTGGCACGAGTGTCCTCTATCCACGCTGTTCAGTATGAAGGGAAGAACCAAAGTGATTTATTTTCTAACCACTCCTTTAAATCCAGTAAAAAAAAAGCACAGAATAAATAACAGACACACAACACAGAGACACACACACACACAGACACACACAAAACACACACACAACAAACAACAAAAACAACAAACACAAAAAACACACAAACACACAAAAACAAAAACAAAAAAACAACAGGACACACACACAAGACAACACACACACAACACACACACACAAAACAACACCCACACACAAAAACACACACACAAACACAACACACACACAAAAACACACAAACAAACACACACACACACAAACACAAACAAACACACACAACAGAAAACACACAACAGAAAAAACACACACACACACAGACACACAAAAAAACACACAGACACACAACACACAGACACACACACAGAACAAACACACACAAACACACACACCACAGAAACACACCAAAACAAAAAACACAACCACACCAACACACCACACAAACAGAGACACACACACACAAACACACACCAACAACACAACACACACACAAACACACACACACAACACACACACACAGACAACACACACACACACACAAGACACACACACACACAGACACACACACACACACACACACACAGACACACACAGACACAGACAGACACAGACACACACACACACACAACACACACACACACAAATATATATGTATACACAAATAAATATATACACACACACACAAACATACATATACACACACACATAACAGAGAGAGAAACAGGGTGTTTTCATAGTATATAGTTTTTCTGAATGATTCTTTTTATTACGCTGCACTATTTATTTGGTTATTTTTATGGTGATGTTGGAACACATGAGGCCTGGAGGAGTGAGAGCAGCGGTAGGCTGTCAGTGTCTCTTGGACAGGAGGTGAGAGATATCTCCTCCACAGAGATGCAAACATAAATTAAAACCTGACCGAATATCATTGCACTGAGTTCCCGATGCAAAAAACAAACAATTCACTAGTCTATTACAAAATAAGTAAAACTAATGCTGTGTCCCCCCCCACATATAATGATTAAAAAAAATGTGAAGGAAATCTTCCCCCATGAAACTCCGACATCTATAAAAAACCCAATGGGAATTAAAACCTTTCCCTACTATCAAAAAAACCAAGAAAATCCATTTTTTTTTGGCGGTGTGTATTATATATTCTATGTGAAATGTCCCTGCTGCTATAAATACATTCTAATTGGTGAATATAACTTCAAAATTTA